GCAGAGTGATGTGGAAGGTCCCCTTCCTATCTGGTTTGTTCCGGAGCAGCACAGGGCCCCCGTTACGTCTGCTAACGTAGCAGAATGTGGTGGGAGGTGGTGATGTACTGGGATGTGGTGTGGTGTGGTGATGTACCTATGATGTGGGTGTGGTGTGGTGATGTACTGGGATGTGGGTGTGGTATGGTGATGTACTGGGATGTGGTGTGGTATGGTGATGTACCGGGATGTGGGTGTGGTATTGTGATGTACCTGTGATGTGGATGCGGTATTCCTCCTTGAAGATCTTCTGGAAGAAAGGGATCTTGAACTGCATGTGAGGGGTGTGCAGCCCAGGGAGATTGACGTCCACGTCACCCATGAAATGCGGGAACTCCCAGTCCTGTCACAGAAAATCAACACAGAACACATTAGTGATTTGCTTTGCTGCAAAGCAGCATGACCCCAAAAACCAACTTTGCGCAAGCATTTGCCCTGGACGTCCCCCTGTAGCCAGCTGACAGCCATGTCCGCTTCCGCTGTGGTGCTGGCCTTACATACGTCAGGCAGCAGTAGGCGTGCAAGTCAAAATTAAGCTGCCATTGCTATCTCTTGATTTGCTTTTTACTGTGGTAATAAGAAACCAGTACAGAAGCTATCTGTGTCTACACCTCTCTCACATTCGCGAGAGCTGATGACTACAGGGTAAATTTCTCGAAGTTTGTTTGGCTACTTTTAAAAAACATGAACTCCATAATAGCAGGTATTGTGTCAGAACAGAAAGTGGAGAGATACACTTAAGATACACTTAAGCAAGATACACTTAAGATACACTTAAGCAAGTCCTTCTCTTAACCAAGTTAGCATCTCTGCAGGCAGCCAACCGGGGAGCACACATGCCAGCCTCCTGTCCTGTGCACCTGCACTCATCGCCACTCTGAGCCCAGCAATGGAAGACTTGACGAGGTAGATTCAGGCATCAGTAGAAAATTAATTCCCAATTTCCACAGGCCGTATCCCTGCAGCCAAGGCAAAACTCTTGGAAGGAAGGGAAACAGGAGCAAGGGAGGATGTTTTTCTTGGATTTCAGTGGAAGAAGCAAGGGAAGCTCATAGTTAGCAGGCGAAGAAAGAACACACCAAATTCGAGGAAGCATTTCGGACAGATCCCAGGCATTACTATGCATGTTCTGTTAATTACTGAACATTCACCAGATGATTATGGTCAGTTCATAGTTGAGATATCTTAAATAAGAAAAAATTAATGAACAAAATATTAGAGATACAGAACCATCAACTCCTCAATATAAAAAGGTAAATTTATTCACTACTTAGCTGTACACAGCCGATAGAACTGGGCTAAAAACACAGTGCCCGAATTTTTTTAGGAGATTCCACATCCAGTCCACTCTGCTGAGAATGCCCTGGTTAAGGAGAACCCTGGTTAAGGGGAACCCTGGTTAAGGGGAATACTCGTTAAGGAGAACTCTGGTTAAGAAGAACCCTGGTTAAGGAGAACCCTGTCTAAGGAGGACTGATTCAAGAGAATGCTAGTTAAAGAGAACCCTGGTTAAGGAGAACCCTGGTTAAAGAGAATTCTGGTTAATGCAGAACCCTGGTTAAGGAAAACACTGTTTAAGGGGAATGCTGATTAAGGAGAACTCTGGTTAAAGAGAATTCTAGTTAAAGAGAATCCTGGTTAATGTGGAACCTGGTTAAGGAGAGCTCTGGTTAAAGATAATCCTGGTGAAAATAGAACCTGGTTAAGGAAAACTCTGGTTAAGGGGAATTCTGGTTGATGCAGAACCCTGGTTAAGGAGAACTCTGGTTAAGGAGAGCTCTGGTTAAAGAGAATTTTGGTTGATGCAGAACCTGGTTAAGGAGAACCCTGGTTAACGAGGACACTGGTTAAGGAGAGCTCTGGTTAAGGAGAACTCCAGTTGATGCAGAACCTGGTTAAGGAGAACCCTGGTAAAGGAGAACTCTGGTGAAGGAGAACTCTGGTGAAGGAGAACTCTGGTTAAGGAGAACCCTGGTTAACGAGGACCCTGGTAAAGGAGCACTCTGGTTAAAGAGAACTCCAGTTGATGCAGAACCTGGTGAAGGAGAACCCTGGTGAAGGAGAACCCTGGTGAAGGAGGACCCTGGTTACTAGAGAATGAGAGCATGAGAGTGAAGTGAGACAGAGCCTCCTGGGATCTGTGGATCATTCCGGGCTGCGAAGAGAAATGAACAAGCAAGAACGACAAGGCGGTGGTGGGGAGTCTGCCCTGTCTCCAGAGTGCGCAAGCCTCTTGCTGGTCATGGATGCTGCTCTCGAGTGGTCCCAGCACCCTCTTCTGCTGGTGAACAGGGAAACAAAACACACAAGGGAGGACTTCCCGCAAGCTGACACGTCATTTGGAAGCACAGAAAACCCAAAGCACTGACCCCAGTGAACCTGCGGCACTTCAGTGTAGAATATGGGGAGAGACTGGGCTGGGAACCACACCAGGAAGCAGTGCCAAGGCTGCAGGGAGCGCATGTGCTCTTCCCGCCCACCGATCTCCCTCCTTGCTCTTTCTCTCTCACTTGGAAGACTCTCGCAAAGGAAAATGACCTTGAATGCAGTCTTTTGCCAGAGCACAACTGGTGAGAACTATGCTAGGCAACGGAGGCATGATCATCCGTGGCTCCCACTGGTCCTCGATTAGCAACAAGCACATTGTCAGCAGGGTTGCTGTTTGCATTTCTTGGTCAGAGGAGAAGACCACGTCTTGGTGGCCCCTGGTGGGGCCAGTGCAGTGAGCAATGGCTGCTTTGGGGAAGGCTGTCTTCTCCCCTCTCCTCAGCAGCCCAGCGTGGCCTTTGGACAGGTCGCCACCCTCAGAGGCTTGCAGTGGTGGCTCCTGGAGGCAGAGGGAAGAATTGGTGCTTGGGGGCTTCTCCTGCAATGTGGGTCACACAGTGACGACCTCCAGAAATAACAGGCAAACTTTACCGGTGGGGGTGAGGGCACCGCACTGTGCAGCAATGCAAGCCAGCAGCCGACGGCTGGGGAATGTGTGGACAGAGGCTCTGTGTCCGAGTCTGACCCTGCACATTCACACACATGCAGCACACCACGCGATCCTGGGAGCTGGCTTAGTATCCCACTGTTTTCGGCATCACTGAGGGAGGTACAACTGACAGACGAAACCCACTCTAAGTCACTATCGATGCTCTGAAACACGTATATGTTATGAAGTAACTGGCACCGTCAAGATAATTAACGTTTCTAGATGAGAAAATCTGCCTTGGAGACGGTGAGGGGCTCGTGCAAAGCGGCAGGGGTGCCCGCAGCGGAGTCAGGCTGCCTCGGGCTGCGGGGGACACACACTTGCTGCTGGAACGTGCCGCCTCCCCATGAGAAGCCACATCACTTCCTGTCGCTCACTCGGAACTGCACTTATTAGCCTTTGCTGTATCTGATCGGGAACAGCTGGGGACAGCCGTGGTCTTCCAACGCAAGCTCCAGGAGTGACTTACACTTCCAAGGGCTGATGTGAACAGGTCCGGTTTTCTTAAGCAAGTAATTATTTGAAAGGCAGAGTTACAGAGAGAGGGAGAAACAGAGACACAGCTTCTGTCTGCTGGTTCACTCTCCAAATGACTGCAATGGCCAGGGCTGCACCAGGCCAAATGCAGGAGCCAGGAGCTTCATCCGGCTCTCCCACATGGGTGGCAGGGATCCAAGCACTTTGGCCACTTTCCACTGCTTTTCCAGGCAGCAGCAGGGGGTCACATGAGAACTGGTAGCAGCCCAGAACCATGGCAGTGCAAACAGGTCTAATTTTTTTTTAAAGATTTCATTTATTTTATTTGAGAGGTAGAGTTACAGACAGTGAGAAGGAGAGACAGAGAGAAAGGTCTTCCTTCCGTTGGTTCATTCCCCAAATGGCTGCAATGGCCGGGCTGCGCTGATCCGAAGCCAGGAGCCGGGTGCTTCTTCCTGGTCCTCCATGCAGGTGCAGGGGCTCAAGCACTTGGGCCATCTTCTACTTCTTTCCTAGGCCACAGCAGAGAGCTGGATGGGAAGAGGAGCAGCCGGGACTAGAACCGGTGCCCATATGGGATGCTGGTCCACAGGCAGAGGATTAACCTACTGCACCACGGCACTGGCCCCTATCGGGTCCAATTTTAACTCTCTGAGAAGCCCCAGGAACAGGGAAGCTTTAACGCAACTGATGAGCGGGCAGATGTGGCACGAGGCTGACGATGGCAGACACTGTGGTGTCTCGGCACCGCAGCTGTGGGTGCCTGGCCATTTCCACACACGGGCCGTGTCCCAGTGTGAGGCGCACCACGGCTTTCCGTCTGCATGGATGTAAAATCCGCAGTTTGAACACAAGATAAAAATGTCCAATTAGGACAATGACGAGGCGAGATGTGCTCAGCTACTGTGCCCGGGGCAGCCTGAATCTGGAGCTGCTCATTAGGAGCTGCTCGTCTCTTTCCCTTTCAGGAAATGTTAGCAGTGTTTAGCAAAGCCGAGTGTTCTCACCGCTCCTGCTTTCAAATCTAGCAGTCACCGCAGAGGTCCGGCCCCTCAGTGGCTCAGTGATGTGAGAACCACTAGGTGCGTGGTATTCCACCACCGCAGTTCTCGTCGGCTCGTGTCGATACACGCAGGGTGAACAGGCCTCCAGCTTTGCATCTTGCTTGTGGATGGAAACCAGTGAATTTCCATTCACACGGCCTTATTTCCCATACAAAACTAAATGAGCAGTGCCATGATATGCATCGAATCTTATTTCTTACTTCCTATGGTTTAACTCTGCCAAGAGAAATAAAAATCAATTGCTGATTACCGTCGATCATGGGCATCCTGAGAACAGAGCAGAGCACGTCGAGACAAAGCTCAGGGTGTGCAAGATGGTGCGAGGGCGGCCTGGACTTCGCCCTGCCCCACGCGCCCTCCCTCAGACACACACCTTGGGGTCAAGGCAAGTCACCGGAAACCATCCAACCATCTCAGGCTGGAAATCCCCTGACTGGCACTCAGCTTCCAAAACCAAAGAGAGACCTCGTTTCTCTTTAGAGAGGCGCTAGAGGATAAACATGTAATAGCACTGATCACTCGCTCCTGCAGACTGAAGCCACGGCAAAGGCTGTGTCCTGGCTGAAGGTTAGCACGCAAGTGCAGAGGAATTAAGTCGTCATTTAGATTCGGTTTGACTGAAAAGCTCAGAGTCATTCAAAATAGAGCTGACAAAGGATTCTAAATGTCACTATAAAGATCAACAATTTCCATATCATAAATTGCATAACTTCTCTCTATAGGCATTCGATTATTAAGCTCCGAACAATTTCAAAAGTCAACCTGGCAGATACATGTCTCTCTCATTCTTCTGGGTGATCTCTGTCCCTCTGCATTCTAGAACTG